CCCCCAGGGCGCCGCGACGGGCGACGAGATGGCGGGGGGGGCGCGCGCGGGTCCCCCAGGGCGCCGCGACGGTTAGGGCACCGCCGCACGCCTCGGGGCGCGCGACGCGCAGGGCACCGTCGCGTGCCACGGGGCGCGCGACGGGCAGGGCAGGGCGTCGCGCGGCCAGCAGGGCGGCGCGACAGGCAGGGCAGAGCAGGACGCGACCAGCAGGGCGGCGCGACGGGCAGAAAACCGCCGCGCGCTCAGGGCGCGCGGCGGGAAGAAAAAACGAGGCGCGCGACAGGCAGTACAGCAGCGGAAGCATCGGGTGGGCCCATCCACAGGATCGACCAGGGAGGGTCGACCTGCTCTGAAACCATGTGAAAGATAGAAAACGAGGAATGAAACAGAGAAGGGGGGTTTCACTAGCAAACATTGGGATACATATAGCAAACCCTAACAGGGCTGTACTCACTATAGAGTACCCCACTGCATGCGGAGATAACTACTACAACGGGAGCTAGACTACGGGCTAGGCACGGGTGCTCGTGTGATCTCTGGGTTCGTTGGTCCTTAGTCGTTTTCCTAGTGCACACACTGCTTGCTAGTTCACGGGGTAAGTTGGCAAGAGTTTTACTAGAGAAAGGTGACAACAATGATACAATCAGGTTGGCAAGACAAGACTACATCAGAGCTAGCATTCAGGTCGGTCGACTGCCAGCGCAGCATGGTCGACCGCGTTCCAGCACGACTTGGTCGGCCGCGTTCCAGCAGTGCAAAGTCGACGGCGTGCCAACGCTGCAGGTCGACGGCGTGCCAGCGTTGCTCCCGCAGAACAGCAGCGCACCAGCTTTGCAGGTGCTCGCAGATGATTGGCGTGCTGAGCCTCGTCAATTGCACAACGCACACACCAAGTCATCCTCGTGCTGACGACTCCACCTGATCCGCCACGTCGACCTCGGGATACCACCACCGAGGTCAGTCTCGCCAACATCGCCTGGGCGACCGTCGCACTCTTCCGCAAAACCTCGTCACCCAGGTAACCTGGTCGACCGGGCAACCACGTCGACCAGGTGCTCCTGTATGTGCCTGTTGACCTCCCAAGTCGACGGCCACCTCCAGTCGACCTCACCAGGTCGACCACACCCCTGGTCGACCAGCTCCAGGTCGACGTCACTCCTGGTCGACCAGCTCCACGTCGACCAGCACAGTCGTCAGCCGACCACCCAAGTCGGCTACCTGAAGTCGGCGACCTCCCAAGTCGGCGACCTCCCAAGTCGGCGACCTTGCAAGTCGGCGACCTTGCAAGTCGGCGACCTTGCAAGTCGGTGACCTTGCAAGTCAGCGACCTTGCAAGTCGGTGACCTTGCAAGTCGGTGACCTTGCAAGTCGGTGACCTTGCAAGTCGGCGCCGACTTCCAGGTTGATGTGCCACATCGCCGACCACCAGTTGAAGTCGGCCGCCGGCTTCCCAAGTCGGCCGCATTGCAGTGGCCCCGTGCAAGTCGACCAACCCTGTCGACCACTGCTGCAAGTCGGCTGTACCTCCCGTACACCCAACCACGAAGTCGGCTCCGCCCAAGCGAGGACGGGGCCAACAACAACTCCCGTTGACACTGCAGACTAGAGAAATATAACATTCTGACACGGCAGCGGCATTCACAGCAACGACGCGTATCGTGGCGTGCTCGTTCGTCCCACGAGACCGATGTCATCAGTTGATGTTGTTGCCGTAGGACCCCGGTCTCGATCGGCGTAAGAAGTCGAGCTTCTCCGCCATAGCGAGGATGTCCTGAAATTCGGTGACATTGCGAAGCTGGATTCCTTGGGCGATTTCGTGTTTTAGGGCGCCGATGTAGCAATGCGTTCTCCCTCGTGCATGTAGCCCACCTGCTTGCACAGCGCCAAAAACCCGCTAGTGTAGTCTTGGACGGAACCGAGCTGGCGCCAAGTGCGGAGCATCCGACGCGCCGCGATTGAAGCCGCGATTGGCTCGAATCGTGCGCGCAGGCCTGCGCACCTCGGGTCCCACATGCGATATTGGGGCACCCCCACGAAATACGACGGTGCCCAGGGTCCGGTTTGTCCTTCCCGTGTCGGTAGAGTCGCGTAGTCCACCGGCTTCTTGACGATGACGCGCCACCAGTCCATGGCGAGTCATCGCAGCAGCGACACGGCGTATCGAATCTTCGCCGAGTCCTCCGAGACGTAGTTGGCGTCGAAGAAAACATTCATTGTGAACAACCACGCCTGAATGGTCGGACCACCCCGTTGGCTTGGGTCGAAACAAGGCGGACGCTACGGCTTGAGCGGCATCGTTGACGGCGGTGCTGATTCGCCGATCGGCACCGAAATCGTGACGCGAGGTTGGCTCCTGGCCGCATTCGTCGCTCCGGGGTGTGTCGTGTCGTGGTCGTCGTCTCTGTCGTTGCGGGCGACGCCATCACTAGCCGCGCTCGAGGGATGCCCCACACTTCCGTGTTGTGATGCCTGACGTGCTGGTTGTCCGTGTGTGCCTTGTGTTTGTGACTGTGCTAGTTGCGCCTGTGCGACGTCGTTTTGCAGTGACGTACGTTCTGCGGTGAGCGCCGCAATTTCCTAGGAATTTCCGTGCAGCTGCTGCAGCAGTTGGTTCAGGCGCTCCTGCGTGAGTGTCGTGACGTCGACGTGCTCGACCAGTTCGAAGGACGGCGGCTCGGCTTAGCTCTAGGCGCAGTCGTGGCTGCATGCGTTTACGAGAGAACGCGAGGACAGCGGCTTTTAGGTGCTAAGGGGCGTGAGTCCCTTCGAGTGCAAAAATCAAAAGTTGATTTCTCTGGGTGTGGAGATGCGCAGTCCGAAAGAAAGTGGCTCTGAATACCAAGTGTTACGGGTGCAATGGAACGAGATAGCGAGGATTGCACTAGGTGTCAAACGAGTACAAAGTATGAGCGAAGGCATGAGCGAATACTTATGTGCGAAAACATGCAACGGTTACGCGGTGCGTGCGAGCTAGCTAGTGCTAGGCTGGCATCGAGGTTCGGGCTAGTCCCGAAGCGTAGGCCGACTCGGCCAGGCCAGCGGTGCATGGTTTGGTAAAACAGTGCGCACGAAGTTGGCGAAGCCCCGTTAGCAGTAACGGGCGAACAACGGCTGCTGCTGTACGCGATGTTGAAGAACACGGTAAGGAATACGAAAACATTCCTTACATGAACCCACGCCTTCCGCGCTCCTACAAAAACCTTCACCGTTGTGCTATCCGCTCAGTACACAGTCTAGAAACGCACATTATATATAGAATAACACGTCTGCCATTCTCGGGGTGGCTCTGTCAAAATGCCTGTACACTGTACAGAGAAAACTGCATTCGCCAGAAATTTACACTGGTCCATCAGAGTAGCTAAAACCACAACCCTGGCAAATCAGATATATTCCATAAAAGTTTCCCAGAAACGTCAAGGTGACCACTCTGATTTTCAGAGAAACATAGTAATTTACTCTGATAAAATAACCCCTGATCCGTGGCCTTCGGGCAAGTGGAAAGCAAAAACTATAGGAGTCGGGCAGGTTAGAGTTAACGAACCTTGCAGCCAACCGTTTTGCAGTCCACTGTACCAGCCAACCCGTGCCACCAAACTACCCTCGAAAAGCAGGGTGAACTAGGAAAGTAGCTCTGATACCAAGTGTTATAAGTAGTTAATGAGAGTGCGCGGAATAACGAATAACGAGAGTGTGACTCAATGAACTGACAATACAATGAAGGCACGCGATAATATAGTGACTAGCCTAGCTAAGAGGGAACCTCGGGGCTACGAGGTTGGGTCCAGGTTTGGCGATCGGGGAATCTGAAGGTGACGCGGAGCAGCCTTAGAAGCGTAGGTGTCGGCCGAAACCTGCGAAGTCCGAAATGCCGGAGTTGTACGCGTAGCAGTCAACTCCGGTGTTATGATTTGTACTAAACAGATTGCGCGGAAGACTTTATGAAGAGACTGTGAATACAGAATGACGAAACAATGACGAAAGCGACAATATATAGGGCGAAAACGTGCTAGACGAGAACCTCGTGATGTGCGAGGGTTGGAAATGTCGCGATTGGTGCGGGGCGACTCGGAACTGGTTCGGTGCGAAAGTGTAGGCCGAGCCACACTGACGCGAAGTGCTCGGGGCTGTCCTCGCTAAGGGCAGCTCTACAGTAATGAATTGTATATTCATTACACCGGGTAAGGGAAAAGGAAATTTCCTTACACTTATACTCTCTGTAACAAGTACACCTTAAATACTTCCACTGTCTTAACTTCTTTAGCAAGGCTTATCCTGTCCACTAAAGATCCTTCTGTTACATCAACATGTCTTGTCTAGAAACACCCTCGATATTGTTCACCTAAGCATTTTTTTCTTGAATTTGAGAAAAGTTCCACAGGTCCTACATCCCGGAAAAGGAGGTACACGAGTCAGCAACACTTCACAAATGTAAATCTCCAAAAAGAAATTCAGCTGTCAACAGCGTCTCAACTCAATACAACCGACGCCGGCAGTCAACAGCGCCACAGCAACAATTCAATTGTTTCACTTCACCATTTTCATCCATCACGCTGCCAACCTCGTAATTGTAGTCGTAGGTCAGTTCCTGCATTACAAGGCAGTGCAGAGAAAGACAAAACAAGCCAACATGTCATGTTACATGGCAAGCTCAAAGCTTTGGAACCAAGTCGCTTGGGCCCAACTTTGGTTTTGAGACACCCTTTGCAGTCTGGGTGAACAAAGCAAGATACCATTTGAGCTAGGGTTGAAGTTTGTGCAAGTCTGATTATTGAGGAGATATGATTTTCAAGCAACATTTGCCAGGCTGTTTTTTTAGTCTACACTCTGTAAGCGAGTGGTATGGGGAGAGAAACAGATAAACTTGGGCAGGGAGGGAGTGGTGAGAGCAACAGATGGACATGGGCAGGGAGAGAGTGGAGAGAGGAGCAGAGGGACTTGGGCAGGGAGGGAATGGTGAGAACAACAGAGGGGCTTGGGAGGGAGGGAGTGGTGAGAGGTCAGATGGACTTGGGCAGGGAGAGAGTGGAGAGAGGACAGATGGACTTGGGCAGGGAGAGAGTGGAGAGAGGACAGATGGACTTGGGCAGGGAGAGATTAGAGAGAGGAAAGATGGACTTGGGCAGGGAGAGAGTGGAGAGAGGACAAATGGACTTACACAAGGTGTCGCAAAAAAGAAAAATATAATGTCAATCCGCAGGGCTTACAAATAATAACAGACTAAAAGCAGAGCCAGGAGGGTGTGGAAACAGAAACAACGGGACTTACAGTGTGGACAAGAAGGGGAAGGAGGTTGAAAGAAGGAAAAGAGAAATGGAGCCGACATCACTTACCGTTAGCGGGGGGATGTTCTCGGAGGCGACGAGGAGGAGGTGGGAGAGCTCAGGGCGCTTGTGGTCCCAGAGGGCGGACTGGTAGAAGAGGTTGGGCGAGCAGCTGTGGTTGATGAAGCGTGCCACGTTGCCACGCCGCAGCCCGTCGATGGCGTAGTGCACCTCCTCGTGCTCCTCGCCCTCCTTGCTCGCCTTTCCCGATGCACGATGGCCTTTGGCACTCGGCTTGGCCTTGGCCTGCGCCAAGTCCTCGAACATGGGCTGGAGGGGGGAGAATACAAACAACAAACACCCAGCAATGTTATAAGAAAACAATATTATACAAAGGAGAAACACCCAGCAAAATTGATAGACGATGTTTCTGCTTCTGCAATTGACGGTGCTTTGTTTCCGCCTTCTGCAGTTGCAAAACAACTCGACTAGCTAGCCATTTGTATAAGTGAGTGAGCGAATGGGGTAGATGAGAATGGGAGCTTTGCTGGAATGAGCGAATGGGGTAGATGAGAATGAGAACTTTGCTGGAATGAGTGAATGGGGTGGATGAGAATGGGAGCTTTGCTGGAATGAGTGAATGGGGTGGATGAGAATGGGAGCTTTGCTGGAATGAGTGAATGGGGTAGTCATTTTTTTGCGGCTTTAAGTGAATGAGTTGCAAAACAACTCAACTAGCTCGCCAACGGGAATGAGTGAATGTTATCACAAAACAAAATGAAAGCTGTAGTGTTTTTTATTTTGTAACGATTTGAAAGGATCTCAATGCCACTAGAAGCATTTGCTCTCCTTGAACTTGAATCACTTTGGCCCTTTCTAATAGCCACAATTTTTCCTCAAGATGAGTTATCTCGGCCTCTGGATGATACATACATCTCTTCCCTGCGTGCCGAGCTTGGCGGTGCGAACGGTGTCGATGCCGATGACATACATGTCGTCCTCCACGTGGTCCACTCGCTCGTACGGCAGCACGTCGCCCACGTACTCGCACACCACTGCCCCCGCCGGGATGAAGTCCCACGACCGCACCGCCCACCCCTTGTGCGCCGTCTTGTACACCTGCGAGCATGCATGCATGGAAAGCAACAGTTTATGTAACAGATTGCTCAGACAGCATAATGATTGTGTGTTATTAGATGTGCGTAGCGGCTCCTGTATGTGCAAAAAAAAAAATATCAGACCAAAAAAGGACACGAAACAAACAACCTCCAATCGTAAGACGGCCTTACCTCAAGGCGGAAGCGCAGGCCTTGCTGGCCAACCCGGTTATTACAAGCTGGGCCGCAGCCACATGAGGGGCCACACTCCATCACGATGCCGCGCGCTTTGACCAACCTGATTTATATGCCACAGGGTGCACACATGAATGACTAGAATCAATGAGATGTACACCTATCTACTTCAGATCATTTCAGATTCCAAGAATCCTCTTTCCACCCAGCTGCCAAGAAGTTCCACGTTTCAACACCTTTTTTTTCAAGAAGCAGATTCGCAGATGTCTCTTCCTTTCCGTCTCACGAAACACCCAGATGGGTTTCCAATCATTCTGCATTCCTCCTTGGCATCCTTTAGTGGCAGACTCAGGGTTGTGAAGAAGAGGCACATCATAAGACAAAGATGAACACAGTGAGGCTGCAGAGAATAGGTGAGTCTGCAGAGAATAGGTGAGTATGCAGAGAATAGGTGAGTCTGCAGAGAATAGGTGAGTCTGCAGAGAATAGGTGAGTCTGCAGAGAATAGGTGAGTCTGCGAAGCATGGGTGAGTCTGCAAAGTCACCTATTCTCTGCAGACTCACTTATTCTCTGCAGACACACCTATATTCTGCAGACTCACTTATTTTTCTGCAGACTCACCTATTTTCTGCAGACTCACTTATTTTTCTGCAGACTCACCTATTCTCTCCAGACTCACCCATTCTCTGCAGACTCACCCATTCTCTGCACCCTCACTTATTCTCTGCAGACTCACTTAATATAGTGAGTCCGCAGTGCAGAGAATAGGTGACTCTGCAGAGAATGGGTGACTCTGCAGAAAATGGGTGAGTCTGGAGAGAATAGGTGCGTCTAGAGAGAGTAGGTGATACTGCAGAGCATAGGTGAGTCTACAGGGCATCGTACCTTCCTCCCTGCACGTAGGGAAAGCCGTCACGGTTCCTCTTGGCACACGCGCACTTGCTCTCACTCCTGCACGCCCCCTTGCACTCGCACTTGTGTGCCCCTCCATGCAGCTTGAGCCCATTGGGCATGATGCGCTCCGTGACGTACTCAAATGCTGGAGGGGTTACCATACCAGCACAGGGGGACCCCATGGTGAGCAGAAATGAGGAGTAGGAAAGCGATGTGATTTGAATCGAATTGCAAACAGTTCAGCCTGAACCGGAAGAACCAGAGGGTGAACCAGAGGAAAAGCCCCCTTTTCCTGCTTTTCCTCCTTCCCGTCCATTGCCACCATGTCCTGGTTTCCTGCCAGCGGGTGAACCAGAGGGCAAATAAGAGGGCGAACCAGATGGGTGAATCATAAAGTGAACCGGAGGGTGGAGGAGGGTGACCTGAGGGTGAATGAAAGGGTGAGCCAGAGCGTGAATCAGGGGGTGAACTGGAGGGTGAATCAGAGGTTGGACCCGAGAACGCACCACCAGAGGGTGCGCCAGAGGGTGAATCGAAGGATGCGCCCCTTTTTCCTCCCTTACCTCCCTTACCACCCTTTCCAGCCCCGCTCTTTCCGCCTGGTGCCTTGTATGGTACGCTCGATGGCGCACCATTTCCGCACCTTATGTGGGGGGGGCGCGGCTTCACCCCCGCAGGAGGACCCTTCTGCACTCTGCCCGCAGAGGGACCTTGCTGGTCCCCGCACATATGGTGAATATTGAATTCCTGGTACCCCGGCTTCGATTTGAGTCGATCTGAACCAATACAGTTTGACTACCTGACTGGTTTGAGTCGGTGCCAGTTGAACCGGTTCAGGAGAAGCCACACAGGCAACAAAACCACCGCATGCAAAGCCACCCCCAACCCTCCCCAGCCGCCCTCCTCCTGCTCCTCTCTCTCCTCTTTCTTATACCCCGTCCCCTCCAGGCCCACATCTACCAGCATGCACGAGGGCCCTGATGCGTCACATCTACCAGCATGCACGAGGGCCCTGATGCGTCACATCTACCAGCATGCACGAGGGCCCTGATGCGTCACATCTACCAGCATGCACGAGGGCCCTGATGCGTCACCGGATGGAAAACAAACGTGTGAAACAGACCATGACTTAAGGTTCATGTATACACGCACACGCTCCGTGTTCATACGAAGACGCTGCCACGTAATCAGGCCTACACCCATGGAGAAGACAAGGTAACTGATTCCAGACATGTAAGGGATAAGGAGAGAATGACATCTCCTTCAGCGTGCCCATGCTTTTCACCGTGCAGCAAAACTGTGTCTGTAACGTTCTTATCATTCAAAGAGATGTCCACCACGTGATGAACCTCAAACAAGTTTGTGTAAAAAATAATGTGCATATAGTAGTTTATTTAAGTTGTGGCAAACCATATTGTAAAATGTGTGTACCTTAGATTCACCTACCGGGTGGCATGATGGGTGGTGTGTCGATGCAGTTGGTGACGGGGACAGGAAGCCTCTCCTTGCCATTTGAGAGGTCTGCGCACACAACACTGGCACACACGGATGGTCCCAAACAGCAATTGAGTCAGTAATTGTGTAGTCATATGTTGCAACAATGCTGTAGCAATATGTTTCCATCCTAAGCTTCTACTCCCAAATGACTAAAGCGCAGAAAGTCATGATGCCATGTACCTCACGAATGATATTCAGTACACGTGCACTAGATGCAATGAGTTTGTCCCAAAGAGGGTGTGCACTCACTCTGATGCTCTGTTCACGCTCGTTGGGATCTGGCCGCGCATGAAGCGAACCTGAGGCACACAAGGGCATGACCCGCAAGCGTGGTGCAATACCAATTAGTAGGTGGACGTAAACAATAAGTAAAAATTGAGGCAAGGTAGACATGAGCAGGTTATTGGATCGGTTTATAACTGTAGCCTATATTGAAAAACCGGTTCATGATGAGAAAGAGGCCGGTTATTGGAGGGCCACGAGCCGAGGGCGGGGTCGGGAAGACGAGGCGGAAGAGAGCACCAAGCTGAGGGCCAGAGCCTATCCATCTACATTCACAGGGGAAGGCTTGGAGAGGGAGTGGCTGATCTTGAGCGTGTTGACGAGTCGCCAGCGGACGGGAGTAGTAAGGGGAGTGGAAAGGGGGGCAAGAGACTGGGGTGGCAAATGCAAATGTTTGGTCCCTTGGGAGCTGATCACAAGCGCCAGTGCAAAATGATCTCATGGAAGGGGTCCACCCCTACCCCGACTGATCGTCATTTCACAAGCTGGCACACGGCCCACATGGACGTGTGGAAGTGTCGATATGACCGCCCCCACCTCTTGGGGGCTACAAGGGGATTCTGGATGGCTACGTCAAGGCATGGCCTCGTGTCGCCAGCTGACCGAAAATCCCAAAGGGGAAAGGGAAGGCAGGGTAGGCGGAGGTGGGTCCGAGGGAATCGAGCGCTACATGACGACGAAACTCTCCCGCCACGATCTACTTCAGGCGATCTCCAAGCCGGTGGTCACCTGCGACCTTCCTTTCCGAATTGTCGACTCCGATGCTGTGAGTGTCATCCTGGATTCTGGATTTGTTGCCCGTTACCAACACCCATCCTCCGTGGCATTAGGGTTTCGAACCAATCGTTGTGAATCTAAACCCAGGTTTACTACTACCATCTCCCGCTGTATGTGTTCCCTCCCTCCAGTTCCGAGAGCTGCTGATGCTGTGCAATGTCCACTGCTGGGGGAAGAACTTCATCCCCTCGCGCTGGACTGTTGCACGCGACATTGTCGTCTTTGCGAAGGCCGCTCTACAGGCGGCCATCGCGGAGATTAGGGCGAAGGCGAGGGAGTTGGGGTGCAAGATATCCTACAGCATGGACATGTGGACGGCACCCAATGACAAGGCGTTCATGATGGTTACGAATCGCTGGGCGGACGACGGGTTTCGGTTGCGGCAGGCAGTCTTTGAGTTTCGCGAGATGCTTGGGCGACACGGGGGCGCCGCCCAATGAACGACAAAAATTAATGAGGCTGGCAGGCAAAAAAAACCTTTCGGGCAGGCAAACATTTTTTACACAGGGGACCGAAGGGGAGGGGTCGGGGACATAGCAAACAATGGAAAGCACGAAATCCCTCAAACTATCGTATTTCAACTGCGAAAAACCCTCTAAGGTTTACGAGGGAGAATTTTGAAAAGCCTCGGGTTTACGAAGGAGAAGTTCAGAAGCCCTCTAGGGTTTACGGAAGGAGAATTCTGGAAACCGTTTTCTGACTTAAATTTCGATTTGGGGGGCCGCTGATTTCGCGAAATGAACAATCTCGTTGAGATATCGAATGTAAATTTCTCGAATTATTTTTTCTCGGTCAGCCCAAATAAAATTCAGAGGATCGTCTAGCGGCTCCGCCTGCGCCTTGCGTCCCGTGTCCAGATGCAAGCCCCGCCTAAGCGTCTTTCTCATCTTAGTTTTTTAGGGAAGGACGGCAGTAACCGGGTCTAGTATCCGGTAAGCCAGTTAGATCAATGAACATATACACCGGCTAGATCAAAATTCGAATGGACAGCAAACAATCCAGGTTCAAGCATCCCTAGCAATAACATAAAGGGTTGTGCACATGGGCGAAAGGGTGGAACCTGGTCAGTCGTGAGAGGCGGCTGGCCGGGGTTGCGAACGAGAAGAAACTTGTAGACGAAGAAGCCTTGTTCGCCACGCACATACCGATGCTGCTTCACCTGTTGCGGTTACAAGGATGCAATAGAAAAGGAAGCATGCTTTAGGCATAAGAACGGTATAGTGGTGTTCTAAACGTGATCTCAAATTGCCGGAGGCCCAAATTGTTCATGTTTTTTAAAGGCTGACGGGGAGGGAGTTCAGTTTTGGGGTTGTGACGAGAAATATATTTCGCCAAAGTCGTTTTTTCGCCACACCCAGCCAGTTTGGGTACTTTCACCTGGTGGGAGCTCGATAGTCCCAAATTGCAAGCGCACTTCTTTCAAATTTGCAAGCTCCTCGACATCAAGTTTGAAAAACTTGACCCGCGCGCCTCGCAATTTGGGACTCGGGCTTAATGGTAAGCCGATCTACATGATACAAAAACGTGTGAGCAAACTCAAGCACAAGGCGAAGCGAGAGTCAGAAGGTGGCGTGGGCTGGTCCACGTGAATCCAATAGGCGCAAGGTGTTGAAATGGGGATGGACGCTGTCCGGGGTCAAACCAGGTCAGGCCAGGCACCAAGTAAGACCAAGCTCAAACCGCCTGGTCGGGTTGACGTTGTTTTCCGACCGGCCGTGCCTTGGCACAATTTTGCAAGTCAGACTAACCATGTTTCCACCCAAATGGCGAGCGGTTCATTGCTGGCCGATTCAACTTGGTCCATCCTCCAGATGTTTTCCAAACCGGCGGCTGGTAAACGCTGCTTCATTGCTTAACCACTAGCAGCTCGAGCAATAATAAAACTATTTAAGCTGCTTCATAATAACTTGCTCAGGTTCAGTTTAACTAAGGGCGTATTTCAGTTCGTGTCAAGAATACCGTTTATGCCATCCAAGATACTTGGAGGAACCCAGACATTCCAAATGCACAATATCCAGAAGTGCCTGAAATCGGTCTATATTCATTGTTCCTGAGATGACAACATCCTTTGCAATCACTTCTGTTATCTCTTGAGTTCTGGATGGTTGCAAGCAAGTTGGTTGTTGCTCGGGTCTTAGCAAGTGTCATATCTAATTTAAGTAGAATACGTCCCTTTCTCCTAACATGTAGGCTTCCTGCACAATTTCCTACTCACTATTGGTAAGGTGCTTTGTTTGCCATTTGTTTGGGAATGGCAAGCTGATGACATTCCACATTGTTTCCACATGACCACACCTATCCGTTCCTCATGTGGACCCACAAAGCGACCATATCAGCTTTTAAAGACAGACCCACCTTGTAAAGCCCATCGTATGTGAAAGCCCGTCCAGTGTCAGACTTCTTGCAGTTGTGCCCTCGAATGACTCTCACATCGTTCTTCACCTTAATGCTATTCTGAAACCACCGCAAAAACACATATTTGGAGAAAGAAACGTAAAATGCAGCATAAGACAAACACATGACCGAACAATATATAAATATGTCTATATATGCAGGTTGTTTTCTAGCCTCTTCACTTTCAAAACCAAAAGGTAACATCCCACCACCTAGTCAGACTTTGGTGCACCTGACTGACTCTCGAGCTAAGCACCAAACTGTCATTTGTTTCTACCTAACAAAGATTCTGCAGTTCTGAATTAAACCGGACAGATTTATCTTATTCGCCATAATGGTTCGACTCAAACCAACTGCACCGTCACATTGAGTCATACTAGGCATGAGCATGGTACCGAACAGAACCGATTCGTTTTTATACCATGAAAAACCGAACCGGTTCACTACCGAACCCAACCGATTCGTTCACGAACCGGTTTGCGTGGTGCCAGCTCGTAATTTGTTAATATAGCTAACGAAACAAACAGGTTCGGCCGAACCGGCCCAGTTCGGTACCAAACCTAAGCGGTTCGTTTTCCAGAGAACTTTGAATATGGTCATACCAGCTGAAAACTAATAAAGAACCATAGAAAACAAACAGATATTAGGCGGAAGGGAGACTTTGTAAGACTATGACAGAGTTAAATCTCGAAATGAGCTCCTACTCTTTGTTTTTGGGGTTATAGTCGAACTTGCATGACCAAGGTCGGTATGTCGCGACTCGGGAATTCGGCAAAAACGAACGGCACGAACCGACGAACCGGTTCGGTTCAGAACCGGTCCGGTTGGACCTAGACCCGTTTGGGTTCGAAACTTGCTTGTGCATACTCAATAAGACAGGATTCATCTGACACACGACATTTGCAGCATCATCTCTTGATGTATGTGAGGGTAGACATGAACAACGAACCGAAATTGCGCTCGGTTGATCGATTCGAACAGTTCAAGAAGTTAGCGGCATACCGTCAAATGTTTGCGCTAACAGTTCGTCCGAAGTTATGAGGTTCGCTCGCGCTGCGGCACGTTAAAAAGGTTCGGGACAAACTAGAGGTCCCGCGCGCCATGCAGTGATTTCACTCGACAAAACTGGCCTAGGGATTAGGGTTGACATCGCAGATCTAGACATATGATATTTTAAGTTGGTTTGTTTCCTCCTATGCATTAACTACCACTCACCTTAGTTTAAGTTGGTTTGTGGTGATGAGTGGTGAGCAGTGACAAATTGGTTGGGAATGGTTGTTTCAAATCATTTGTTGGGGACGAGGAAGTGCCTAGGGTTTCGAAAACCTTGGCCCGGTATGACCCGACCCCATCCGACCCAGTACCTGCCTGGCCCGCTCAAATCGGGTCAGGTCGCGGCTGGTCGGGTCGGTTGCTCATGACTAGTTGCAGGTTGGTTTAGGGTGATAATCAATGTACCGTCATCACCCGGATATAAGACAGTGTTGAATAGAAGACAGGGGGTGTCTTTAAAACGGGCGTCTCTTATAAATTGGTGCTCATGATTATAAGATACCTGTAGGTGTGTACGAGTTAAGGCAGTGTCTTCTAAACAGTACCGTAGTAGGGTTTATGGGTAATTTTATAACGTGGGGGTATCTTCTAAACGGTTTTTTGTCCATGTATAAGACTTATAAGACACCCTAAACCGTCCCAAATACAAGACAACCCAAGCATTTTTTCTAGTGTATAAGATAAGACATATATGTCTTATATCCGGGCGATGACGGTAGACTTTAAGAAGCGTTTTAGGCATATTCAGTAGCATTCCTTCTTGGTCATTAATTACGAAGAATTTAGCTCAGCATCTTCCGATTTAGTGCACAAATGGCAACATCACGCGGGGCTGGGGACGGGGCCATGAGAAAGGAGCCTACCTTAGGTGGGGCACCAAATGCTTCCAGTATAATGAACGCCACCAACATTTTTTGGGTCTCTTGAATTTTAAGTTCTTGTTGTTTACTGATGTTTCATGCTTGCGTGCACACATCCGTACCCCTCAACCCCGCACAACAGGTTTATGAAAGAAAAGGGAAAAACCCCATCTCGTTTATCAGTCACTAAAAACTTCCCTGTCGAACTGGACTAGGTTCGAGTTCGGCTGAACCTTGCAACGTTCGACATGACCAAAAGAAGATCGGCTATTCAAAGGAGAACATCGACCTTAGCCAGGCAAACAAAGCTTGGTCGAACCGACCAAGTTTGTAGAAGTCTGGGCTGAACCTGTTCGGGGACGAGGCGAGCTTCTCGGCTTGGCTTGTCCTTCAAGGACGAGTGACGAGTTTGAGTTTGGCGTAGAAAACTTGTCCGAGCCGAGTCGAGTTTTGCGCGGCGAGTTTTACAAACTGGGCAAGTACTCGTCAGTTCGACAAGATTTTTAAGAAACTCGTTGAGCGTATAGAAAACCCGTCCCGTAACCTAAACCTAGACCGAGGGGTGGTTGGGTGCAAATGTGTGTGTCGATTTTTCCATATCCAGTTTTTCGAACACACGACAAGCCTAGCCATGGCGACCACACTATGTAGACGAGTTACGTGGACAATCCGGTCCTTTCGTAGCTTAACAAACGCCTAGTTTGTCGACATTGTCAAGGATGTTGCTTGCAAGGACCACACTCGTCCGAGCCTTTTGAAAAACTAGGCCGATCTCTATAAAGCTCGTCAAACATGACGAGTGACGCGTACTGTTTTAGCGGAAAAGGCTCGTCCGATAAAAACTCGCACAAGCTTGACATGTTACGAGCCGATTTTGATCGGCTCGTGCCAATGCACATGTATACCGTTCAGGTTCTGTTCATGCTCATGTGGGAGTTACTAAAGCATACCATGAGAGCCAGGTTTCCGGATCGCAGAACTTGGTTGGCCACTTGCTTCCGTGAGCCCAGAAGGTCGTTGCCGCCCTGCCCCGTGTACCAAATGCGGCTCGCCTCGTCCTCGTCGTCCTCGTAGCCTCCAGAGACCACCACGGCCACCGCGATGGACTTGTCATACGGGCTCTCCTGTTGGACAAAGTCAGTGATTGCATCGCAAGGGATGTATTGCCATACAGGACGTTAGGCATGCCGCATTAAACATGAGCATATTACCATACCAGGTCTTGGTTCGGGCCGAACATGTTCGGCCCTTTTATTTATCAGAAATAGTTCGCCCGAACATGTTCAGGGTGTGTCCCGAACATGTTCGATGTTCGGAAAGTTTATAGGGAAATTTCCCGAACATCTAACATGTTCGGGAAATTTCGTGTGTGCGAATATGAAATGTTCGCGGAAATACCAGCGCGACATTTGTCGCGCTGGTTGGATGTCAAGGCCACGGAAACCTGGGATCGAGGGCATTTCGACCTCGATCCCCAAGTTTGTTTAAGCACAAGCCACTAAGGAGCAAGAGGGTCATAACCAGCACAAGGGTACCCAACTTAACGTTTTCTTAAGGAAATCTAGGTTTATTAGTCGGTTTTTAGGGTGGCAAGGGTGGTTAGTCGTAGACATGGGCATTTGGCCCGGACGTGTCGGGTTACCCGACCCAACCCGCCTATTTGGCCGGGTCGGGTCAGGTATGGTGAGAAGGTCGACCCGCCCGGCCCGGGTCGGGTCGGGCCGACCCGGACGGGTCGGGTCGACCCGTGACCCGTTAGTGTCATTCTTTCACGGGTACCTGCGACCTGTCGAAACCGGGTCGACCCGACCCGTCTGGGTCGCGTTCCGTGTCATGGTTCAGGTATACCCGACCCGTTCCGTGCAGTATTTAGGGTACTCTAGTGAACATCAGTTTGTTTGGATGTTGTTCTTGGTTTCTCGACTTCCACTTCCAGGCTCTAGATCTAGTTGAACGCTTACTTACCTACCTTCCCTTCAACTCTCATTCATTCACTTTAGGGTTACGACTCTTCCTTTCCTTCCTCTCAAATATAGATCCCACCACAACCCTAGTAAGGCATCGATACTGCACCCGCCACTGGGAATGACGCTGTAGCTGTGAGCGCGATAGTGTAGGGGGAACGTCAGCGACAGGTACTTGCTTTCGCGCGCGCAACCGCTCACCAAATCGCGCGCATAGCCGCTAACGTGCATAGGCAACGCACGCCACTTCGCAGCGTCGCGCGTCCAGGGGCGCAGCAGCGCGAGCGCGAACCCACAGCAGCGCGATAGCCACCAGACAGATTCGCGGTCGCCTCCAACTGCAACGCGAACGCTATATAACCCTAAGCCTGCTTTTACCCGACCCGAGCCGACCCGCCCTATAACCAACCCCGGGTCGAGTCACAAATATACCCGTACACACAGGGCGGGTCGGGTCCTCAAATTAGGGTCAATCTTGACCCGCCGACCCGACCCGACCGGACCCGTGGCTGTCACGGGTCGCCCTAGACGGGACGGGTCGGGTCGGGTCGGGCCTACTGCCCATGTCTAGTTAGTCGCTTTTATTAGCGTTTTCAGATTTGGAATCGTACAGTGGCCAGGGTGGTTTAGGGCGACATATTCGTCCATAGACGGACGAATTTAGGCCAACATGGCGAAAGAACGGCTGGGAGGTGGAGGGCTAAGTTGCGGAAGACGCAGGGAGCGTCCTGCGTCTAGCGTCTAGACGCTAGACGCAGGACGCACATTTAGACGCTAGACGCATGGGGCAAATTTTTCCGGGCAGCCCAAAAAAATCGCGCACACGAAATTGAATTTCGCGATTTCGACGCGAAATTCAGTTTCGCGACATTGGAACCCCCTCCCACCCATTTCGACCATAGAAAGAGCATCGGAGGAGGTCGAAACTCACTAAGGAAGCTAGGAACTCACTATGTCACTAAGGAAGCTAGGAACACACTAAGTCACTAAGGAGCTAGGAACTCATTTAGTGTTGCTTAGTGGGAGAAATTGAGAAACGGAAAGCTAGGTCGAAATTGGAATTCGTCCCCCGCACCCAACAAATTTGTGAACCATTTCGTGACCAACCAATTCCCCCTCCCATTACCAATTTTCACCGCACTGAATCTAAAAAACCCCACCAATTTGAGATACGAAATTGTGAGCGTCAATGTTAGATCTAGAAGTTCTAGATCTCGATGAATGTCTCACCAGCCTAATTCGTCTTCATCCCATTCCCCCCCCCCCATGGCCTATAGAAGGTTTTTTTTGCTGCCCGTACTATTTTTTTGGCCTGCCCGGGCTAGCGTCTATCCCAGCATCTAATCTGCCAAGGCGCGCGTCTAGCGTCTTAGACGCTGCGTCTAGACGGACGCGTCTAAGACGCTAGACGCGTCTTCCGCAACTTAGGTGGAGGGCGGGAGGGGGTGGAGATGTTCCGGGAGTGCACGCACCTATGGACCCCCTTGTGGTAGAGGGTCACGGAATTGCTTTCCAGGGTTTGGCCACATCGGCACACACCTTCCACCATAGCATAAGGGGTGTGCCGGTGGTGGAGGAGGATGAGGGGGGAGAGGAGGAAGAGGATGAGGAGGAAGAGGAGGAGGATGGAGGGGAAGGTGAGGGGGATGAGAGGGTTAAGGATGCAGAGGTCGAGGCTGCAGGGGGGGGAAGGGGGAGATCCGTGAGGGGGTTGGCGGGAGAGTGGGTACGGGTGACCATGCAAGCCCCACTCTCTCCGGGCACTGGGTCCGAGAGCGGATCCCAGTACACACCCGGAGGAGGCGAGGAGGAGGGGGACGCGGAGGTGGAGGAAGAGGGCTCGAGGGGAGTGGTGGGGAGGCACTGGAGGAAGGCCAAGGTCATGGATGCTAAGGCACCTAAACCTAAGCCTGGTCGTGTTCGGAAGGGGAAGGGAAAGAGGGGGGGAGAAGGAGTAAGGGAGGGGGTGGGGTGAGGGGGCGCCTGCACCGAAGAAGTGGATGACTAAAAAGGCGCCTGGGTGGGCGGTCCGAATGTTTGTTGAGCCTCTCCTCCCGGAGGAGAGGCGGAAGTGCAAGATGTGTGACACGATTGTTTTCTGGCAGGATGGCACAACCACCTCTGGCGTGCGCCACTATCTGTCGCAACATACAGCGCACCTCGACATCTGGGAGTATCGGGCTCGCTACAACCCCCACCTGCTAGAGCCTGGCGAGACCTTTCCCGAAGGGGGCTTCGACGATGTCCCGAACGGGGAAGTTAAGAATTATCCCGGCGTCACCACATGGCCTCGCCTGCCGGCAGGGACCCGGACCAGGGCGGTAGGCGGACAAGTGGGGGGCATTGAGCGCTACATGTCGGAGCGTCTCAGCCGCTCGAAGTTGCGTCACTTGATCACCAAGATGACGGTCTCGTGCGACTTGCCATTTCGCCTCGGCCCTCGGTGTGCATCGATTGTGCAGCAAACCCTCAGTGTTTAGATTGGTGTGTGTTCCCTAATACACCTTAATGCAACTCACCCGCTTACCCCCACATCTATTCTCTGTGAACGTGGCAGTTCAAATATTTGCTCACGTACCTCAACAGCCAGTGCGCCGAGAAGGGCACGCTGCCCACGTGCTGGGCTGTTGCTCGTGACACTGTGGTCTTCGCCGACAAGGCGCTTGAGGCTGCCATCGCCGAGTTGGCGAAGACCAAGAGCTTGGTGTCCTACACCACCGACATTTGGACGGGGCCGAATGGGAAGACCTACATGGTGGTGACTGGTCTGGCCACTATGTATCCGACAGCTGGGAGCTTCGCCAGGTAGTCCTCGCGTTTCGCGATGCCTGGCGGGCACAGCGCAGAGCGATTGTGAAGGTGGTGGAGGAGTTGGTGGATCATTGGCAGCTGCAGGAGCGTTGCCTTGGTATGACGACTGACAACGCGTCCGCCAATGTCCTAGCCCTCAAACTCCTTTCGGATGAGGGGGATAGGAAGCGGTACTTTCGCGAAGGCGCACAAATTGGGTGCGTCCCTTTACTGCTAGCCCAACCCTTCCCTTCCATTCAGTCTCCCCTCTCCCTTCCTATCATTGTCGTCCCTTCTCCCCCCTCCCTTCCATGCAGTCTTCCCTCTCCCTTCCCATCACTGCGGTCCCTTCTCCCCCCTCTATTCCCTGCCCACCCTTCTATCCCTCCTCCCACCACCTTCCCTCCCATACCAGATGCCTCGCTCATATCGTCAACTTGGCGGTGCAGTCAGCGCTGGGTGTTGTGTCGTTGCAGCTCCTGCTGATGAAGTTGCGCGACCTTGCTTCATGGGTGAGCATGTCGCCCAAGCATTCTGCTGCGTGGATGGCGTTCCAGGTGGCGAGCCCAGTGCTACCGAACGGACCAGACAAGCTCGTCCAGGACAGCCCTGTCCGCTGGGGATCGACACACGAGATGGTGGCGCAGTTCCTGCTGGTGAAGCCCCTCCTGACCAAGTTCCCGATTGGTGATCAGGTACATAAGTCTTGTTGCTAATTCGCACGTCCCTGGATTGAAAGTCAATATGTGTTGAGCGTGCGTATCCAAGTTACAGCCCTTGAACTAATCCTTTTCCCACTCACGCATCCACACCCCACTACAGGGAACCACTCGTGGTGTGCGGGAGAAGTTTAGGGCGCTGCGCTTGAGTGACGAGGAGTGGGATGCATTGGCGACGCTGGAGGGGTTCCTCAGCCCCTTTGCCCGAGTCTCCAAGGCCGCTGAGGGGTCAGCTTACCCCACAGTGTCGATGGTGCTGCCGTACTTCTACGGCCTCATCGACATCCTAGAGAAGCAGCTCCATCTCGGCCCGTCGGCATTGGTGCGCCCACTCGTGGAGGCAGCGCTGGGGCATTTGAAGAAGTACAAGTTCGCCTTCGGGGACGAGTACTGAATCGCCACCTTCCTGGACCCGTCCCTGAAGGCGGAGTACTTCAGCATGGACCACTGGGAGCTGCATCACCCAGAGCTGGTGGCGGCGGGTGGGGGGAGGGTGCGGCCGCGCATGAGCGCCGAGCGGGTCATTAGAGTGGTGAAGTGGCGGGTAGCATCGGGCACAGGCAGCCCGACAGGCGCCGAGTGGCAGAGTATCCGTCACAGGCAGCCCGACACGCGCCGCCATCGGCGCCTGTCACCGCTCCAGCTGCGGTTGTCGCTGCACTGGACGACGACGACAAGCCCTAGCAGGGCACGACTGCAGGCGCGAGTGGTTGCGAGGGCAGCAGCGGTGGGGGCCATAGATGGACGAGGTGTAGTGGTACGTGGCAGAGGAGCCGGTGTACACCATGACGGCGCTGCAAAACTAGCAGCAGGTACAGAATATGAGTACACTGCAGCAGATGGCGCGAGACTATCTGGCGATCCCAGCCACCTCCGCTGCCAGTGAGAGGGCGTTCTCCATGGGTAGGAACTTGATTTCATGGAAGAAGCAGCGCCTCAACACCGAGCGAGTGAGCGCGTGCATGATTCTAAAGTCATGGTACACCTCTCAACCGGGAGAGCGGATTGGCAAGGGGAAGAAGGTTCAGGGAGCCTACCCCATAGTGCTGGAGCTTGCATTGGAGGGGGAGGGAATGGAGGAGAGGGGGGAGGAGGAGCCAGAGGAGACGGCGGATGAGGCAGTTCGACTGGTTCTGGGTGGGGCTGGGGGTTAGCGGGGGGGTGGGGATTGTAGGAGATGGCGGAGGCGAGGGAGGCGGTATAGCAGGACAGGGGCTGACCCAGGCAGAGAGCGCGTGTTGATTGCCGTCTTGGAAGTGCTTATACATTGCCTCCGGCTTTGACATTCTCTAGGTTTGAACTCCTGTTTTGTAGTTGCTTGCATGCCCTGCATGCTTGACAATATTTCAGTTTGCAGGAATTCTAAAGCTATTGCTTAGTTGTTGTCTTCCCACTCCCCCAGCCCTATTCCACCGTGTTCCCCATCCCCAATCCATGTATGGGGGACTGCTGTAGTTATTAGCTGAAACCTGACAGGATATTTTTTCTCTTGCCTTGAATGTGACTATAGTGAGGGGTAAATCTATTTCGAACCCAAACATGTTCGGGATAGCCCGAACATGATGAAGGTTCGCGAACGTATATGGTGTTTGCCCACCAAGGGCGAACATCGAACAGTGAAAGTCCCAAAAAATGTTCGGGCATGAACCCGGGTCCGGCCGGGTCGACCTGACCCGGCCGTGCACAATGCTCATCCCTGATTATTTATGGGCATCTCTTGCTGCAAGTTCGACTGACTATGCCTGACACACGCAAGCATGATGGGGCAGTGCTTACGGGTTGAGGAATGATGTCAATGCCGTTGAGCCAGTGCCTGTGCAAGCCCACCGCAACCATTTCGGCTCGAGCAAAGAAGCGATCACCCACACGCACACCTGCACAATAACGGAGAGTCATCACGATTGTGATCACGATTGAACAGTGGTGCCACCTCTTCATGCTCGTTTGTTGATACGCTTTTGCATAAGTATGCACTTTATGTTTAGAGATTCTAGAGTCATGCAAAAGGCCGAACCTCGGTTTCAACTCGAATTGATTTGAGCCAAACCAAACCAGTCGCAACTCGAATTGATCAACCTGTTCAAGCGGTACTGGCCAAGGCGTGAAACCCAACCATGTTGACGTGCTTTTGGACCACATCAAGGCGGCCGCAGCTCGTCCACATCAATCCATCCTAGTAACCTCCACCGGGACCCCTTCCTTGTAGCCATTTCCCTCCGTCTTGATAACCTTATAATATATTCCACATACTGCGAACATAACGAGGGGAGGCCGAGACGAGCCTGAACTACTTCAACCCAAACAGCACGTGCTTTGAGTCGAACCAAGTTCAGCGTCAGCGAAGCCAGTTCCTCCCAAAGGTACACGTTCAGGTTCAGCCCAAGCTCGTGTGAAGTTAATGCTTGAATAGCTCTCTTTGTCGGAAGCAAACAGCGAGCATCCCACTTATATGAATGAACATGTGACGAGCCGAGACGAACGCTGGGCCTACCCTGGCAGCCCGGCCTTGCGCGCAGCTCGTGGCTCGTTGCGAGAGAACCGCGGACGAGCTAAGGCGGCATGCACCACAGTGTCGAGAATTCAACGTTCCAAAATCGTGAAGGCAAAAAATTGTATATCTAGCTGATTCCTGGCAGCACTAAGACCTCAGTTGTATCGGACATGCAGGCATTGGTGCATCTGGCGTCCGAGCGCTTGGACGCTGGACGCTTCCCCTTTTGGTTTGGGGCATTTCAGGAAGAAAACACACAATTTGGTTGTTTACAATCTCGTGATTACCAGCGCGCCCGTCAAACAGCACCCAACTAAACAAACCCAAGAATACGTCCCATCACCACCCACACTCCCCAGCTAGCTGACCTAAACTTCCACTACACTGCTATCTTTGACTTAAGATGTACTTGCACTGTAGTATCTTGGGAAATACATGTTGCATGTTTCCGTTTTACCCCAAATCTCTCCCCTCCCCCTCCCTTCCACCCCCCCTTTCCCCCCTCTTCTCCCCTCCCCCACCCCCTCCCCCCCACTCCTCCTCCTCTCCCCTGCAGGTTCCCCCTTCTTTTCTTACCTGCCTCAATGTGTCCAGCGTCCGACGCTAGCGCGTGGACACCAGCGTCTAGTCCAACACAGACAAAGGCATTTCAACAATGTGCGAAACTCAGCATACCTGGAATGGCGATGAAGGGAAGGAGAGCGGAGGCAGCATACCTGGAATGGCGATGAAGGGAAGGAGCGCAGAGGCAGCATACCTGGAATGGCGATGAAGGGAAGGAGCGCGGAGGCAGCATACCTGGAATGGCGATGAAGGGAAGGAGCGCGGAGGCAGCATACCTGGAATGGCGATGAAGGGAAGGAGCGCGGAGGCAGCATACCTGGAATGGCGATGAAGGGAAGGAGCGCGGAGGCAGCATACCTGGAATGGCGATGAAGGGAAGGAGCGCGGAGGCAGCATACCTGGAATGGCGATGAAGGGAAGGAGCGCGGAGGCAGCATAGCTGGAATGGCGATGAAGGGAAGGAGCGCAGAGGCAGCATAGCTGGAATGGCGATGAAGGGAAGGAGCGCGGAGGCAGCATAGCTGGAATGGCGATGAAGGGAAGGAGCGCGGAGGCAGCATACCTGGAATGGCGATGAAGGGAAGGAGCGCGGAGGCAGCATACCTGGAATGGCCCCAACAGTTCTCGTCTTCTGCAGGAACCCCTTTTCCAGCATCTGCCCAGCAAGCACACAAGCAAAGCAAGCGCCAGTTGAGACCTGCCTTCAGGAGCACGCTGGCCTATTCTCATCTCATCTAATTGCTTGCACCGGCACATTGGTGTGTGCTGTCATGGAATTGCTTGCTCGTTACAAACAGCACTTGCTATGAGCACTCACCTGTGCAGTTCTATCAATGTGTTCCGTGAATAACAGCAGCAACCTGGTCCATGTGGCCCATATAGGAAAGTGTTACAGCGCACGGTTCAATAAAAAGCAAAGAGCAACTAACATGTGAGCAGCCAGTCATTCAAAATATACCCTCCCAGAGCTCAAACTAAACCTCTTGTTGCAGCCGCAGCCACTGCGCTCACCACTTTGAGGGCAACGAGGTCCGGACGCTTGCTGGGAACGCGCACGTTCTTGGCCTTCCCCTTGAGCTTGCTCTTGGGTATCGGCTCCTCGTTGGGGCCCATCAACCCCAGCCTCCTGCGCTCCTTGGTCACGCGGTCATCCTCCGTCTGCCGTGCACAGCGTGCGGGCAGATTTCACATGCAGAAGGTCATCGAAAGCAGCCAGGAACAGAAGCAGCAGGACACAGGAGAAGCAGGGAACAGAAGCAACAGGAAACAGAAGCAGCAGGGCATAGAAGCAGCATGTAAGAGAAGCACCATGGTAGACTCTTAGAAGTAGTACTTCAGATCGTTCATAGACACTTAGAAGGCTTGAAGCGGTTCGAAAACAGCAATTCTCAACAGGGACATAGACGACGCATGAAAGAGCAGAAGACCACCGTGATGGCACCCTGACCTTCAAAACTCACCTTCATGCCCTCCCATCTCACCCTCATGCCCTCCCACCTCACCCTCACGCCCCGTGCAGCGCACCTTGATGGCCCGGCGGTTGAACAGGCTGTACAGCTTCAGCATGTGCTTCACTTGTGCCACCGCCTTCTCATCGTCCTCATCCCCCTCCCTGTCCTCCTCGTCCCCCTCCCTGTCCTCCTCGCCTTCCTCTTGAGTCCCATCCTCCTCACCCCTCTCCCCATCGTCCTCCTCGCCCACATCCCTCTCCTTGTGCGCCGCCTCCTGCTTCCCATCCACCTCATCCCTCTCCCCATCTTCCTCGCTGCCAGCATCCTCATCCTCCTCCCCAGCATCTGACCCATCGCTGCTGCCTCCACTGCTGCGGCACTTCTGTCTTGCGCTCCTCGCCTTCTTCCCCCTTCCCCATGTCGTCTTTGCTGCACTCTTCCGTTTCCGCCCCCTGGCAGCACCGCCTCCCCTGCCACGACTCTGCACCTGCACGCCACTCCCATTCCCCGCACCACCCGCATCAACGCAACCAAGGGCCAGGATCAGCCCTTCGTTCTCTACCCTCTCCTTCCCTTCTGCCATTCCCATCCCAACCACAACATCGGACCCAACCGTTCCGCCGCACCTCCGAGTGTACCCGGTTCTCAGCACATGCTCCTGCTTCCCCCCGCGCTCACACCCATCCGTGCCATGGCTCCCCCAGTCCTTACTGCCCGAGGGGTGCGTGCCACCGCTGCCACTGCTGCCGCCACTGCTGCCACTGCTGCTGCTGGCGGTGCGGCTAGTGCTCCGCCGCGTGTACTGCACTTGCTGCTGCTGCTGCTGCTGCTGCTGCTGTTGCTGCTGCTTCCCCTGGTCCCGCGCCTGCCGCTGCCCGCCGCCTGCCGTGGGCGCCAACGGGGAGCACCGGCTGATGCTGCCGCGATACGCGCGGTTGGAGGAGGGGTCTGGGGTGGGGCCCTGCGAGATGGCGGAAAGGAGGGCGAGGGACAGGGGCGAGCGGCGGGAAAAGAGAGAGCTGTATTATGAGTGCAGGTGTGAGGAAGGAGGTGCTTTGGTTGGTATCGCATGACAAGGCTCCTTCCGCATATGGTAAGCGCTGCACTGCGATTGTGTATGCTCTTCCTCTCTAGCATATAGCAGAACAGTGCAATAGTTTTTTGCGGATTGGCGAACCCAGCAGGTGATGTTGGGTTTGTGTTCAGCACCCTCTATCCGTCCTGCCCATGCTGCTGTGTTTGTAAGCTACACGGACAAAAGAATTTCGAGCAGAGGCCCCAGCGCCCAGCTAGAGCTGATGGCTAAAGGCTCGCATGTAACATGCCACACGCGGATGGCCAGAGACCACCTTGGCACCCTTCATTGGAAGTCGCACTCTTGCTCTGCTCTCATCCTCATCCGCTAAACGCTTGCCCTCCGTAGGCTCCCCCCACTCCGTTCCGTGTGAATCAACCTCCCTTCCCTCCCTCTCACTTAATTACCCTCCCTTTCCTCCCCTCTTTCTCTCTGTATACATTTCTTCTCTTCCTTTCGTCCCCTCTCTCCCTGTCAATCCCCCTCCCTTTCCTTCCATCTTTCCCTGTTCATTGATTGCACTCCATATGTTCCCCTCCATACCCTCCCTTGCCTCCCCTCTCTCCCCGCCAATTCCCCTCCATTTCTATCCCTCTCATCCTGCTGCTCGCCCTCCCCTTCCTCCCCTCTTTCCCTGTCAATATCCCTCCACAACCTGCCCTCGCTCTCCCTGACAATCACCAACCATCTTCTCCCTTCTCTCCTTGCTGCTCGCCCTCCCTTTCTTCCTCTCAATCCCTGTCAATCTCTCTCCGTTACTCCTCCACTCTCCCTTTCCAACTTCTCCAGTCGACCTGCTACGCGCCCTCCACGTCTTCGCCCTCCCTTCTCTATCGCCTCTTCCGCCTCGCAGCCACCCTGAACAATCTTATCTCTGCGTCCTCGGCATCGCGCACACTTTCGCCCTTCGACACTATCCAGCATAATTGCACATTAACCCGCATAATCGCCCATTATCCCGCATAATCGCCGATTATCCCGCAAAATCGCCCATTATCCCTCATAATCGCACATTATCCCGCATAATCGCCCGTTATCCAACATAATCGCCCATTATCCCGCATAATCGCACATTATCCCGCATAATCGCACAGTATCCCGCATAATCGCACATTAGCCCGCATAATCGCGCATATCGCGCACAATCGCCCGTACTTGCCCATGACCGAACAGCCCGAAGTGGGGAGACGGTCGTGGCAGCATCAATAACGTAAGCATGTCGACGACCCATTCACGCAGTCGCGCTGGCTCACACGGGGGCGCGTGGCCGTCGAAGCTTTCGAGCACTTGAATTCAAACCTACCCCTGTTTTCGCGGTGAACTCACCATGGCGAACGTCCAGTGGTGGCCGCTCGAGCGACAGAGGATGAGAGTCAACCCACGCGGATCACTGTGCGGGAAGGCTGATTGTCGACTGCTAAGGGCGAGAGGTCCTTGGAGTGACGAGGCTGTGTCTCCACGCGCGTCGGAGATCAGGGATAGACGTTTTCGGCCTTAGGTCTAACACCAATCTCACATTCAGTTGGGGAAAGAGCAATGATGGGTGATGGCGTATTCCTTGATACTAGGCTCGGGAAACTGAACACCTTTCCGGACCTAACGAGTGCAGTGCAGTCCGTCCGCCCAAAAGAACGGTGAACCACTGACGCACTCGTAATCCCCCACCCCCAGGCAAAATGGGTGCGGGACTGGTGCGGGCCTGGTTCAGGGTCAGAGGGCGGATCAAGGCACCGCATCAAGTGGTGCGGGGCAGGAATAAAAGTTTCACTCTGTCCTGGATGGCCGCTTTGCTAACAGGCCATCCCACTATCCAATGGTCGGTGACGAGAGGAGATTTTACGGTCTACGAACGAAAAAAATACATTGTCCTGTAAATTGCGCGGTGAGAGGCAGGAAGATAGCGTGAGCCTTCAAAAATATTGATGCGCCCCGAGCCTCCTGCCGCACCATGTGATGCGGTGCTGTCCTGTCCGCCCCCGCATCAAGTGGTGCGACAACAGAACACCGCCCTAGTGGTGCAGCCAGTTGCCGCGTGGCGAGTTTCGAGGAAGTGAGCAAATTCAAATTCTAATAACTCAAAATCGAGGTTTCGCGCGAAAGCAAAGCAATCTACACCTGGAAACACGATTTTGTGGACAGAGTCCACTACATTAGCAATGCACATGAAGTACAGTAAGAATGTGCATCAAACAAGGCCAAGCATTACAGCTTGGGCTGCGTTCTGTTGGCACATGACCAGTTCGGGCCTTCCGCACAAGCACTGGGGGATGGATTTTCCTCGAAGGGGACAACCCTCCCGCGGCTTCGGCGAAGTTTGTTAATAACGACAGAGCAGGTTCGCAATCAACCCAGGTTTTTTTCGTTCACCATGCCCAGGCTGCCCAAGATCAAAATGTTTCATCCCAACCACTCACAAACCTTCGGCCTAGGGTTCACCCTCGCCTCTCGTTTGGTATGTTTTTGTGGTGAGTTAATTCATCACCAAATGTCCCAATAACGGGCGTTGAGATTTGCCCGTTATTGCTTGTATGTCCCCTTATCCCCCTTCGGATGGGCGGATAGGGTTCGCACGAGTTGTCCCTCCAGTTTTCCCGTGAGAGAAGTTTCGAAGTAAGGTTCAAACGCACTAATTGTGATGCATTCTGTTACCCATGGGCGCACAGTTTATGCTAGCAGGTTCGGATGCACATCGTTTATCACCAAACTTTGATAAGAAGCAAAACCCTTATCACGAATCTTCTAAGTACCCATTACGCAATGGTTGTGCGCCAACAGAGAGAAGCCTTGGTGTCATGTGTAAACAAGTGTAAGGATTTTTTGGAGCACCTCAGCAACGCGTACAAGACTAACCGTTTCTTCGCCTGTTAATGTTAACGGTGTTCGCCACATTTGCGCGTCACTTTTGCCAATCCTCGCACTACTGGACTTCACCGAGTCAGCCTACGCTTCGCAGCTAGCCCAAACCTCGCCGCCAGCATCGCACTAGCTAGCTCGCACGCACCGTGTTACCGTTTGTTGTTTTCGCTATAAATGTCCGCTCACATTTCGCTCACATTTGTGCAATCTTCACTCGCTCGTTCAATTGCTCCCGTGACAACAAGACACGATTAACAACGCGACAAAAGGCATAAGCAAATATTACAGTGGTAACTGTAACAAAAAAAATGGTGGGGTGCTCTATAGGCCTAGCGCCGAGTTTGGAGTTGTCCGAGGCATAGGGCTTTACCTTGGGTTACGAGCCTGGTGAGATAAAATAAAAGTACTTGGTGGTAATTGTTGGAATCGCCGAAAGGTTATAATGGCATTCCCATAGGTATCGCTATACCACAATGTCCCATAACGAGACTACGTCAAATTATATGCCTGTGTCAAATTATATGTCTGTGTCAAATTATATGCCTAAAATGTAGGCTTTAGTGGGGTAGCTAATGTAGGGTATAGGTTTTGTTACTTGTACCCAACTTTCTCGATAGTGCATCCATCCTTTTCCTTTACTCTCGACATGGTATTAAGAGCAACATAGGTCCTTAGGACCGTTTTAGGACTGTTTTTCAGGGCCCACCAACTGTTTTCCGCCGGTTACCGAGTTACCCCGCCCCTTGCCTACACTGCCCTGCGTCGCGCAGCCCTCGCGCTCGCCTCTGCTGGCCCTCGTACAGCCCGCTAGCAGCCCGCCTGCTGCCTCGTCAGCCCCGCGCGTAGCTCGCTAGCTGCCTTGTCAGGCCCACGCGCCGCCCTGCAGCCCCCGCACTGCCTTCTCCTGCCCCGCGAGCCGCTCCGCAGCCCTCGCGCTGCTTTCTACGGCCGCCGACGCGGCCCCGCCTGGCCTACGCGCTGCCCCCCGTCGCCCGTCGCGACGCCTGTGGGACCCGCGCGCTGCCCTGCACCAGCGACGCCGCCCCTGGAGCAGCCGCCCCTGGACCCAGAGCAGCCGCCCCTGGCCCCTCCAGCAGCCGCCCCTGGTGCAGCCGCCCCTGGACCCTCGAGCAGCCGCCCTTGGACCCAGAGCTGCCGCCCCTGGCCCCTGAAGCAGCCGCCCCTGGTGCAGCCGCCCCTGGACTCCGTGCAGCCGCACCTGGACCCGCGACGCCGCCCCTGGACCCCGTGCAGCCGCCCCTGGATCCCGAGACGCGCCTGCACTCGGTGCAGCCGCCCCTACCTCACCTCGCGCCTGCCTTCGAGCAGCCGCCCCTGCAGCAGCCGCCCCTGGCCCCTGGAGCAGCCGCCCCTGGCCCTTGGGGCAGCCGCCACTGCAGCAGCCGCCCCTGGCCCTACTCTGTAGCCGCTGTTGCGGCCCCGCCGTCGCTGCCGTCGTGCGCCTACCCTGCCGCCGCCGAGCGCCGGCCCTACTCGCCCGGCAAGCGCCTGCCCTTCCCACCACTGGTGAGCACCTGCCTTGTTCGCGCGCTGCCGCGCCATCTGCCTGCCTGCCTGACTGCCTGCCTGCCTGCCTGCCGCGCCTGCCCTGCCCGAGCTGCTACTGCTGCTACTGCTGCTACTTCTGTTACTGCTGCTAGGCTGCTGCTGCTGCTACTGCTGCTACTACTGCTACTGGTGCTACTGGCGGTGGCCAGATGCAGCTCCAGCGACGTCCGCGCGAGTCTCTCACGCCCTAGCAGCTTCGTGAGTGGTACGCTAGTTGGGGTTGTGGCGGTAGCCGTCGTGGCGGTCGCCCTAGAGCTGGTCAGTCGGTAGCGTCTGGCAGTGGCCAGCTGCAGCTGCAGAGGCGTCCGCGCGAGACACTTACGGCCCAGCAGCTTCATGAGTGGTACGCTCAGAGTAGAGGGACTTGGAGTACCGTTCGCTGCCCGTACGTCATTCGCATAGGTGATCGGGCTGGTCAGGCTTGCGGGACGCTTGGTCACACACAGTCCCGCTGCTTCGCCCGTCTAAGCGACGCCTGGCGTACCGAGTTTGGCGACGAGGCTGAGCTCCCCACCTGGCTGGAGCTGCTTAGGCAGAGGGTAGATATCTTTGCTCTTGACTATGATGCTATTCTCACTGCCATGTATGCATTGCCTACTAGTGCTGACCGTGCCTGTTACCTGTGCGTACCGCCTGACCCAGGTATAGAGCCTGCTGTTCTAGGTGCTGGTGAGGCTGCTGCTCTAGGTGCTAGTGCGTCTCCTGCTCTAGGTGCTGGTGAGGCTTCTGCTCCAGGTGCTGGTGAGTCTGCTCTCTCTGGTACTACGCCTGCTGAGGCCTTGTACACCTTCTCACTTGACTCAGGTGCTTCTCGCTCCTTCTTTCGCGACAGCACCACCCTCACGCCGCTCAGTCGGCCAGTTGCAGTCTCCCTGGCAGACCCCTCTGAGGGTCCAGTCCTTGTGCACTCCTCCACGGTCCTGCCGTGTCCGGCGGTCCCGTCTGGCTCCCTGTCAGGTCTTCACCTCCCCTAGTTCTCTACGAACTTGGTGAGTGGTGCTGACCTCCAGGACCAGTGGGTTGACCAGTTCACTCATGGAGGTCAGCGAGTGACCCACTGTAAGTGCTCCCGGACGGGCCGGCACCTGGCCACGTTTACCCGTGCGCCTGGCTCGAGTCTGTACACACTGACTACTGTGTCCCCTCAGGTCGCTGCGTCTGCGTCTGCGTCTGCGTCAGGTCAGCTAGCGCCCCCCTGCTCGTGTCGCGCTTTGTCGCACCAGACCCTCCTTTGGCACCACCGCCTTGGTCACCCCTCGGTGCAGCGCCTTCGTAGCATGCACCGCCGTGTCCTTGTCTCTGGTCTTCCCAGGGTTCTCCCTCCCCTCCCATCCTCGCCTGCTCCTCCCTGTCTTCCCTGTGTTGAGGGGCGGCAACGCGCCGCTCCTCACTCCTCCTCGTTCCCTCCCACAGAGGCTCCCCTGCAGACTCTCCACCTGGACGTGTGGGGCCCAGCCCGCGTCCGCGGACAGGGCCAGGAGCGGTACTTCCTGCTGGTCGTCGACGACTACACGCGTTACACCATGGTCTTCCCCTTGCAGCGCAAGGGGGAGGTCCCTGATGTTTTGATCCCCTGGATCCGCGCTGTTCGTCTCCAGCTCCGCGAGCGGTTCCAGTCGGACTTTCCTGTCCTGCGTCTGCACTCTGACAGAGGTGGTGAGTTCTCCTCAGACCTCTTGGCAGCCCTCTGTGCGGAGCACGGCATCCGCCAGACGTTCACGCTTCCGGTCTCTCCGCAGCAGAATGGGGTTGCTGAGCGCCGCATTGGCTTAGTCATGGAGGTCGCTCGTACCTCCATGATCCATG